GTAGGTTAATGTTTCAACCTTTTGTTTTTAAAAAAGGGCAAAAAGTAGTCATCTTTGCCAGTTATGGTTGGTTGTTGGTGTTGTCGGGGTTTTGTGTGATTTGGGGGGTTTGTTCTTGCTGGTTTTTTAATGCTAATCAAGGGGTACTGCAGTTATTTACACTTGGGAGGAACTTAGATACTCTGATGAGCACTCTAGGAAAGTCTGCAGGGAAATACGATTTCAAAATCAGTCTAGTGTTTGAATTGACTGCTGCAATTAAGGCACAAAGAAACACTTTTAATGGTTTAACTGACTGGGAAAAAAAAAAAAATTAGTCCTGGAGAGTTAGTCGACTAAGGAATCAAGCCCAAGGTAGCAGTTTATAATATATTTATAATTTTAATATAAGGCATATCAAAGAGAGAACTTTTTTGTGGTTGTTACAGGGCAATACAAATTCCAGCCGAGTACCTTTGAGGTATGGTTTTGTAGACCCTGTCTTTTTCTATTATCAGATATCTCAGTGTCATGACTAGTCTGTTCGATTGCACAACACCTATATTATTACTAGCATTGATTGCTCATGAAAAGTAAGGTTTATAATTAGGAGAGCACAAAGTTACTACCTGGAAGAGTGGATAAGAAGAAAGCAAAATGGAGAAGTCAATCTTAGTATTGCAGTTCTGCAAAATACCATTTATTTTTCTCCTAATATAACTGGGGTTTACGTTGATAGCAAGCTACTGAGTTAATAAATCTGTTGCAGCTGTTGAGACTTCTCTTTTAATAACAGAACTAATGAAGGAGCATTAAGGAAAGGGAAAATACATTTTGCAGAGTATAGTTTTTGCAAAAATATTTCCCTCTCTCCTACCACTGTGGTTTTAATTGATTGTAATTTCTACTGCTTTATACGTACAGAGTATAAGGGAGATCATCTTAAGGGTGAAGTTGTCAAATTCCATAAAACTAAAATAAATTGTCTAAAAATAACTGTTTAGATTTTTTTGTTTATTTCATGGCATATATTTATTGTGCTTATATACTAAGCTTATTGTGGTTTTGCTTTTTTTTTTTTTTACATCAGTAGATTTATATTACGTGGTGAATGATGTGTGTGTATCAAAAGCAAGTCTACAAATATCTTGTATGTTGTAGATTTATTCCCATCTTGGTACTATACTGAGTGCAAGAAGACTCGAGCAAGTAATTGTTATTATAACAAAGTCCCTATATTTCTTCCAGTGGAGGCGTAAAGTTTGCATGGTCAAGATTACGTTCCAGTTTTATATATAGTAAAAAGGAACCACTGATTTGATTTCTCAGCATTTAATTGTATATTTGCTTCATTTGAATTTGATCCAGCTAGCTAAAAGATGAAGATTATTTTATGATATAAAAATATTCTTTGTTTTCCGTTTTAATCCTTCATTGCTCTATCTTTTATTGCTACAAGAAAAGGTCCACTCAGGTGATTGAGAGACCACTTTTAAGTTCATGTGTTCATTTCTGAGATAGATTATAATGTCTGTAATATAAGCATTGTGGATGCTTCTTAAATGCCCTACTTTTTTTAAAGAGATGGACTTCTGACATTAAGTGAGAAACAAAGTCTTCATCTACATAGGTAGATGGTTTACCCAGAAGGCATGACTGATACACACAGAAACTATTATCATGTTTTCTAGTCATTTTTACATGCTTCTGAAGTATACATCTGAGCCTTTTGGCAATGATTTTTGGCTTAATTTTAAGTACTCTTAGGTTACTGCTACTGCCTTTTATTTTCCCTCCCCAACCGCTCCTCAATACAAGTAAATAGTTTTACCATTTATTGATGGTATATGTGGTTTTATGCTAGAATAGTCATAGTCATGTTTATAAGCCAGTCTTGCTTTGTGTTATATTCAATATGGTCTGTAATGTAAAAAAAAGTAAATACAGCTGTTGGAGATTACTCAATGTGTATGTTGAAAGTGTTATAAATGTCATGATTTTTTAAAATTTTTGCTTGAGTCACTGAAATACCAGCCCAATCCAGTTTCAGATCCTAATATGAAACCCTTTGTTTTAACCTAACGAATATGTTTACACATATACAAGCACATTTTACATCTAGTGAAGAAATGAGTCATTTCTTTATGTGTATGTATATACGTATGTACACATACTAATGCTTCTTTTTTTAACCAGATGTAAATATGCGCACACACACGCACAAGGTTGCTTGCAGATTCACTGTTGAATAAAATAGGTCTCTCTCTGAAGAACAAGAATACTTGTTCAACCTCCAAATATCAACTTCCAAAACTTTCAGATACATTCAAGCTTTCACATTGATAGTAACTAAATCGAATCCTCCTGTCCCTTTTTATAATGAGCTGAAAATGTTATTAAAGTGTAATTTATATCATGCTTGCCTTTGTTTTAGTAAGACTCACTATAAAGCACTCTAAGCTAAGAGAAAAATCTCTTGCAAATGCTGACATTATTTCTCACCGGTAATAACTGAATCTTTGTACCCCAGTTTCCTTGATTAGAAGAACCTTGTGGTTCTTTCTAGTCTCTCTTGAATCTTCCAGATTTTTTATTCCTATCTCTAGAAAATAGAATTACTTCCATTTAAAACTGGAAATAATTGAAAGGAATACATTACTTCTAATAATTGGGAATTTACTTTGTTTGTCTTTAGATGAAGAAAGAAATGATAATGCTTTTAGTTTTTACAGTTTTGTTTTGTGTTTTCTTTAAGTCCCAGCTCAGTTGTGCAATTACAGTAGAATCTGAACTGTCATTTGCAGAAAACGTTGATTTCATCATCTACCATGTTGAAAAAAAAACAGAAAAGAGAAAAATCTGAAAAAACATGTATGAAGAAATCAACAGTTCCTAGACTCTCTTAATCTGTTTTTAACCTGTACAGTTGACAATTGTGACATTATATCAAGAAATAGTCTACTGGTGAAGGCAATTCTCCCCACTGAGAGCAAGTATCCCTAGACTCTTTACTAGCTGCTGTTATAGAGGAACAGCAGCCCATTTGAGTTGACAGCTTTCCTTCTTGGGTTTTAGACAGCGTTTTTGTTCTTTAATTTCCAGTGCCTAGTGACATTGCAACCAGTGTAGAGATTTATTCCCATGCAAAACAGATTGACTTAGGGTAATTTGAATACTTTATGCATGGATAGATTCATTAGGAAAAGGAGGCAAGGCAGAACTATAAAAAGAACTAATAATCTTGCTAAAGGAGCCGTTAATTCCCTATAGCGTTGGAGACATTTTCATTGAACAGGGAAAAGGAAGGTTGATTTTGCAGAGCCCATACAGTCGCCACAGGCATCCTCTGTTCTTTGTCCAGAAACAGATCACAGAGATGACTTTCTTTGTCTTCTCCAGAACCTTATTTAATCTGCTTGGACCATTTCGGGCTTTGTTAGCTTAGAACAGAATCACAAAATGGTTGAGGTTGGAAGGGAGCTCTGCAGGTCATCTTGTCCACCCCTCCAGCTCAAGCGAGGTCACCTAGAGCCAGTTATCCAGGACCATGTCTAGACAGTTGTTGAATATCTCTAAGGATGGAGACTCCACAACCTCCCTGGGCAGCCTATTCCAGTGCTCGGTCGCCCTCACAAAAAAAAAGGGTTTCCTGATGCTCAGAAGTAACCTCCCGTGTTTCAGTCTGTGCCCATTGCCTCTGGTCCTCTAACTGGGCACCACTGAGAAGAGTCTGGCCCCAGCCTCTTTGCACCCTCCCTTCAGGTATTTATATACATTGGTGAGATCCCAGATTGGTCTTTGCTCCAACCTTTCTCCTGGTCTCTGGAACATAAGAATTCAGTCAACAGCTTTTTCAAAGTATGTATTTCTACCCATCGGACATGTCGGGGTCTCGTGCTTTATGCTTGAACCTTCTGCCTTGACCCAAGTTTAGCACTCTCCCGCAGCAGTACCAGTAAGACGTGCTTTCGTAGCCTTTTTATATGCTGCACTGTGGAAACAGAGCTGAATCGACTCATTTGGAAAAAAAGCTGAGAAAACCTGCTTGCCTGCAGTTTGTCTGTCAGACTTTTTCCTTCTGAAGCGACTGTTGGTTTATAATATTCCAGTACTATGTAGGAGTTCCAGCCATATATTGGGACACCCTGAATCTGTAGCAATGTAGATACTATACTGATGCAAACAAAGAGCAGCAACTTGAATATGATACGAGATAACAGAAAAGGCTAGGTCAAAAATAATCAGTCACAAAAAAAAACCAAAAAAACCCACCAAAAAAACAACAACTGCATGGAAGGGCCACATTTTAGAAAAAGAGCAAAACCTCCAGAAAACTAAGTGAGGGTTAATTTATTGCCCCTTTTTGTGTTTGTGCATGTGTCTGTTCATTGCTTTAAAATTTTATTTTAAAGGCATTTAGGAATGTGGCTGGTACTTCACAATTGTTTTCCTGTTATAGAGACATATTTATTATTCATTACAATAATTACTGTGTAATATTTATACTAAAAGTTGTTCACATTGCACAATCAGGAAATGCTTAGGAAGTGGCTGATTTAACTGTTCTATTTTTAACTCTGTACCAAATTATGGTGAACAGTGTTAGCGCTTTTATACTTGTAGCATCTAGTAGGCTTTTCACCACCACACCGGTCAGTATGTTCTCATTAAACTTGAAATGTATTCTTCCAGAGCTTCTGTGCATAAATTGTTTCTAAAATAAGATTTTTATCCAGAATTTTAGTTATTGTGTGCTGTTTCCAAGGGGACTGTGTTTCAGGATTCTCCTAATGCTTCTATCACCCAGCTTCTCTGATCAAGAAAGTAATTTATTGCTGATTGCAGAACTCTTGAACTCAGTCTGGCAGCTGCAGTGTGAAACTTCTCTGATCCAGTCTCCTAGTTACTTATTTACATATCATTTGAAATGATTTTCAGGGCTGTTTGAAAACCTCTTGACATTGCATTATCCATGTTTCAAATCTTATGGTGATTTGTTTTTTCCTCTCTTTGTATTACAGATAACAAACGAGCAACTTTGGAAAGGTCTCGTTCTCGCCACAATGGAACAATAGCAGCTGTATGATTCTTCTGATGCCAAAGAATTAGTGAATTGTTTTATTTACAGTTGAATGGATATACTTTGAAAAGAGTTTATCATACAAATTGGCAATGATCATAAAGGAATACTGGTATTGATTAAATGAGAAGGTGTATAAATGTTAAGTATTTTAAAAGCTATTGCTAAATAATCCACATACTGTATCTTATTACCCCAACTACCAAGATCTGTAAACAGTGTTAAACAGTAGGATATATATCTTATTTTCTTACGTTCTTTCTTTTCTTCCCTACACCTCCCCCTCCCCCTTTTTTTTTGTTTTTTTAAAGCTGGCAACTTACATGAAAGGAGTTGGGGATTTCTAGGTTATGTTTTATATGGGTAAGAAAATACAAATTTGTTGAAAGAATACAGCTGTGGATTCCATTTGCAGTTCTGATTTGGACATGAAAGGAAAAAATAATAAAATTGTATGTTAATAAATTCAAAGATGAGCTGGTCTACATTATCAGAATCTTTTTGTAACCATAAAAAAGCAACGCATAGCCCCAGTCAGGTTGCTGAAAGTCTTATCTCAATGTAAAGCCTGGTGGATTCGCTATTCTGGCTGCAAGTAGGACATACCACATATCTACACTTTTGGTGATATGATGATGTATAGTTACTTATCACTGCTAAAAAAAATTTAAATATAACAGAGCATAGGATTTTACCACAATTAAATGATATCAAGGGCAGGATATGTTTTTAACTGTATCTAAGGAGGGATTTTTCTAATTATGCACTTATATATTCTTTATAAAGATATTTGGGGGAAAATATGATTGTCCTATTTTAATTATGCTAAAAATACCTTTGTGTAGGTTTTTAGAGACAAGCTACATTATGAAGTTATGCAGAACTGCCTCTGAGTTTTTCCTCTGTTCTCAGGTAAAATATGTAGCGGGATCTCTACCGGTGGATTTTAGTGCTGAGGGTTTAGCAGCTCAGAACAAATTTTCTACCTGGAGCACTATATAGCAGTGATCAATGATTGCAGCAGTCTGATCTTTCGGGAAGCTCCTCCCATTCTACTTTGCATACAGGCCCCTTGCACTGCAGTACCTCAGGTGAGCAGTCAGTGTAGTAGCTGACACTCTGTATGTTCTGCCACTCCAGGGGAAACTATCGTTCCCTTTTCTCCCCAGACTCTAGTTGAATGTACAGTCTGTCTGGTGTTCAGGTCAGTCTTCGCCATCCTTTTTACTAAAGGTTCATTGCTTCTCTGGATGGGATGGAGGATTTTAAGTGGGAGTTCCAGTGGAACTACTCATATGTTGCTCAGCTATGATATTTAAAAAAACCAGGATACTATAGAGTAGATGGCACTTGTTCTCAAATTATTATTGCTTTTTCACTGATTGATGAATTATTATGAATACTTTTAATGCCTGGTGTTATGGGGAACTTTTTTCTTAATGTTATGTAAAGAATATTTGGAAGGTAAGGTGTCACGTTGTTTTCTGTGCACAAACTGCTAGCTCTAGAGGAGCGCTTGATACTGGGGCAGTGTAACTTTGCACTACTGCTTGAGCCAAGCATCTTTGTACAGCAGATTCTTTTTGCTTCTCTGGTAAGATACTATCTGACTAGTTTGGGATAAATTCTCACAATTTCAAACTACAGCGATCAATATCCAATTATTGTAAGAAAAGATGCAGCTCCTTTTCAATCTAGTATTGAAATAATTTTTTTTTAAAAAATCATCTTCAAAGGAAATGGGGGCTTTGCCCATTGCTATATCTCTAAACATAGGAATATGACTGAAGCCTAGTGAAATGTGTGCTGTCAACTAATACTCTTCCTAAACTTTTTGGGGGGTTTTGTGGTTTTAGTAACAAACTAAAGAGTTGTATGGTACTTCAGGAAAAAAAAAAAATGCATGCAACAGGATCCTATCTCCCTGTTTATCAGTAAGAGATACAAAGAATTATATCCTGTTTTCCTGTAAGATCAACATCAACCTTGTATTGAAGCATAACTTTTTAAAGTGGAACTATTCAATTTACAGTTCTAAAAATGTGCTTAATGCACGAAGCAAGTTTAAAAGGATTAGGTTCATAATGTCTATATAAATTTGTACTACAATCAACAGTGTATTAGAATTCAAATTTTAAAATGAGCGTTTTGCTGGAATTTACAAGTATTGGTATAATCTTTATATGTGAAAACTCAAAAGCTCACAACAGAATCTTTATTAGTGCACAAGTTTTTCATTTCCATGGGTTATATTTTTTTTAAAGCTCTGTGAAAGCTGACTACAGATTTTCAAGAACCAAATCTTAGGGAAAAAAAAAAAAGCAAATCCAAAATAACAATACCATCCAATGCTTCTATTTTACTACTATTTTTTTCATATTTGGAACATTTATATAATTTAATGGACATATCTGTTAGAACAAAAGTGTCTTTCAAAGGAAAACTAGTTTAGAAGATAATTTATGTAAATATAGGGTGCTCGTATTTATGAAGTCTAAAATATTTTCTGAAATTGATGCTGGTCACTTTGTCTTTTGATAGTTTTTCAGTCTATATTGAATTGCAGATATTTTTAATGTTTTTATTATTGATCTAATTTTCAGAGGTGTCACATGTTTATCTAGAAGTGTAGAAGAGTAGCACCTTTTTCAGAAATGCACTTGCCTTATTTTCTAATTTTAAAAAATGAAATATATCAGTTAAATTATATTTGTATTCAAAGTAATCCCAGAAAGAAAATCGCTGGAGGGTTCATACATAAATTTCTTGCTAATTATGTTTCACTATATGTCCTCTGAGACATTACATTAACAATATACCAGCACATCTGTTTGCATTCACATTTTACCAGTTACAAGTACTGAAGAGAATTTTTTTTTATAATGTTACACTGTTTACATTTCTTAGTTTATTTAAGAGGAAGATAATCTTACCTTTGCAATGAATTGAACTTTTGCAGTTGACATGGGAATGAAATGTTTAAATCATATACAAATATACATATTTGTTGCTTAACTACTGGCTGTACAGATCAGAAATGTAAAGACACTAGACATTTTTTGCTCAAGTTTTATGCAGTTTACTGAGAAAAAAGCGCAACACAATTTGTCATGTATGTTTGTTTGTGATTCAACAAATATCCTTTCCCAGCACATAAGTGATGTTTGGTTTAAGTGTTAATCATATTATGAACTGATGCTAAAGCCAAAACAAAATTAGTGCCTCAGAGGGCATTGACAAACAGCTTCAGGAAGTATTCCCAGAAATACTATTACATAATTTGTTCTGGTTTTAGACAACCATGGTCAATATGAAAAATGTTATCTAAAATTATCTGTTCTTTCTTGAAAATTCAGATAAAAATACAACCACTCCCATAGTTCCCTTCTGTAATATGCAAATAGTTATGAATATCTGTATATTTTTGCATTTTTGTGTGTGGTATATGTACTACCTCAGACAAATGATGTAAAAACCATAATGTTTTCATGGTTTCTGCCCAAACCACAATTCATGAGTGACCTACTTTAAATTCATCCCACGATATACAAATGGTTTGCGAAACTCTGAGAATCTGGCTGAGTTTTAGGTTTGGCTCTGGAAATCCTCCTATAGCTTTCATTAAGAAAACTTTGCAATGTTCGGCTTTTGCATCCCTCAGGCAAATCTTGCTTTGATGGGTGAATTTAGCACTTCCTATATTGAGAACGATATAGCTGGTAAGTATTTAAAGCTGGTAATAGTTATGTGGGAACAAACTTACCTATATATGTAAATTGCTTCTTATCCATTAAACAAAGGCTTGGCTGAATTATACTTTAATGTTTGCCTTCAAATTGCTGAGAGGTCAGGCATAACAAATGCTAAGCGATAAAGCAATGTAAAGCCCACCTCTTATGTGCCATACTGTATTTGCAAGTTATTCATTTTAAAATAAGTATTGTAAGAAACCTCTACATCTCTTCTGCAGTATCTACACACACGCCCACGCATGCACACAAAATGTAAATAAATTAAAAAAGTCAAAGCAGATAAAGCCAAATCCCTCAGCTTCAGGTGTCTCTATTTCAGATCGCATATTGCTTTTGTGCACAAGAAAGGGAGTTGTGTAAGCCTGTGAATTCTGCAGTCCTGCAAGCTGTCACTCAGCACCCACTGATGTCATTAGAAGAATGTTAAAGGAGAAAGATTTGTTCTTGTAGTGCTTCTTTTAGCACTGTTTGAGGTGATACATATGCCACAGAATGTGAACAATAATCCGTTACGGTTTAGTCAGTCTGCTATCATGCACCATTTGGTTTCCCTTTTGGAAGTCATATGACTCCTGATGCCAAAAAAAAATTTAAAAAAAAAAAAAAAAAGGTGACAGAACTCATGCATTTCTATTTTTTAAACAGCTCTGTGTTTGTATGTAATGTTTAAAATAGGAATTTGATGAAATCACAGCCTGGCCATTGTTAATTCATGTATTCTGAAAACTGTAATAAAGATATACATAACATGATTTTGCTAGGTGCGCCGATGTTTTACTTGTTTATAATGATTATTACCTATTGAGTACCATCACCTCAAAATTTGATTTTGTTATATAAAATTATCATGCTGAAATTACTTTCCATTTTAGTTCACTGATTTTTTTATGGATCTCTTTTTTTTTTTTTTTTTCTCTCTCTGCGGTGTCAAGTATATTTGACTAGAATTTGGGGAAAAAGATGCCTTTTCCAATGGACAAGGACTTTAAAAACAAAATAATCCAAAAAAAGTATATAATTAAAAAACCCTACAATAAATCATGGTGATACCGTTTTATTTTTACAAGAATAACAATAAAAGGGAATCACTAAACAAATTACATGGGTCCCTATTTATTTTAAGTGGCTGTATTCCAGTATAGTCTTTTTAAGACAGACACATAGTCAGTCAGACAGCTATTGTTGGTGTTTTCCAAATTATTTACTTCACTTGGGCACAAAATGGTCTTAACTGAATAGAAATTTGACAGACTTTTACCTTCAAAACTGTATATTGCACCTTAAACTACTTAATGATGCCACCATAACAGACTGAAATGCACAACAGTGTAGAAAGATAGCACTGAATTTCTGCAATAAGTACTTAAGATTCTAAAGGAATGGAATTCTAATGAATATGATCAGCCATGTTGAGTCAACACTCCTTAAGTAACTTTTTATATGTGGAAAAGATGTGCCAAGGGATGGTTGAAGGCACCATTTTCTCTTTAATGAACTGAACTATAGTTTGAATGCACTATTTGATATATGGTGAAGCAGTAGAGGATTATTTTCTTAAGGGATTAACATGAAAAAAAAGAAAAGAAAACTTCTATGTGCCAGCTATAACTATAAATGCTGATTGTCATGATTTAGAAAAATGTAGTAATGGTGTCCTACATGTACTATATTCTTCTTGCTTATTTTTAGGTAAATATTCTTGATTTTCTGGTGTGGGAGTCTGGGATTCCCATCATCCTCTCAGATATTTTTGCCTTTGGGAGATTGGCAGACAGAATTTGGGATTTCAGAATCAGAATTCAGAATCCTGAAACAAGTAGCAGGTACCTTAATACCTTTCCAGGGGTAATTATTTCTGTCGCTTCCTCACATGCTTAACAAATCCTGTATGTGAACTTCAGATTGATAGCAAGTTATGGTGCTCTGCCACATAGGTAGACTTCTTTCTTACATTTGGATACTTTCTGTAAATTTGAGCTATACTCCACCCCTCTATTATTTCTTCCAGTCATCATCTCAAAATTAGCTTTTCTACATTTTTTTCAAGGAAGTCAATAGTACTGGGCTGTAGTAACATTTTAAAAACATTCAATTGATTTGCTCAGAATTATTTGATGAGTACTTATAATGGCTGTAAGTAATCCTTTTCAATAGATGTGAAACTAAGGTTAAGAAGAAAAATCTAAATAAGGGATTTTATTTATTTTTTTTCTTTTCCTGTAGGCTGAGCAAACGCTAGTTTAGTCCACTTAAATTCACAAGATACTGAATGCTGTTTATTTGTGTTAGTGTAGCAACGAGGCCAACCTAAGCAAGCCATCTGAGAGGCAAAGGGTATTATCTCCGGCGCCATGCTAACAAAATCACACAGCTTTTTGATTTCGACTGGCTCTCACCCTGCCTGCTCAGGGCACACGCAGAGCAGGCTTGCGTCAGCCTGCAGCACACTGCCGGGGACGGACTCACAGCGAGGCAGCGGGAGAGCCAGGTCTTCGGGCCAGGTTTTTATGAGGGCGATGTGCCCGACTTTCTTCCATTGAAATAATTGATCTCTGAGTCTTAAGGGGAAAATTATCTGTGTGGCACAGATGACTGAAAAGCCCTGTGAGTGCTTATCTGCTTTTGAAGTGCCTGAGTCCTGAAGGAAAAAAAAAATACGACCTGGTCCCAATAAGGCATTGGTCAGATTTGGCGTAAACTAATTCTAATTCTCCACTGACATTACACCAACCCCACATACCCAGGCCTCTGACCTGTAGAAGTTACTCCCACAGCATTCAGAAATGTACGTTTTTAAACAGTCTTTGAGAGTACAAGGATGACTTCATGAATAATTATCAGACTGGCAATTCAGTGGCGTTCGAGATTCATGTCAGGCTGTTACTGTTTTAGCACTTCGGTGATGCAGATACCCTGAAGTCGCTCAGAAGACTATTCCATTTGTGGAAGAAATTGTTAATGATTACACTTTCTCAAACATTCTTTATCTGCTGGAGTAGTAAAAACAGGAAAGGATTACTTTGAAGAGATAAAAACAAATGCTAAACAAAGGTATTTATATTATAAACTATTAATGAAGTTGTAAATTTAAAGAAATAACATTTTAAACGCACCACGGCTTGATTCCACACCTATTCAAGTGAAGTTCTTTTACTTAAGTGGTACAGGATCGGTCAGCTTAAAGAACTGTCGTATTTGCAGATTAAAAAAAACCCAACAGACTAAATTAAAAAAAAAAAAGAGAGAGAATTCAATGACTGAATTTGCTGCCATGAAGAGAAATGAGAATATAAAGGCAAAGAGTAATGACAGACCTATAAAAAGGCCTTTGCAGTACATGTAATCAGTAGCACTAAAACCAAACAGAAAAACAAGAGAGGCAAGTTTGCCTACATACATCTGGCACTGTGCGTAATAGATTTTGAAATTGATCCGTTATAGTTTAACGAGGACTGTGGGATTTTGAAAGCTGTGGTAACGTAGAATGGCCAAATGGAAATTGTGCTTCCAGAAATATTTCAAAATTCTGTTAAGCCAAGAGAGATCTAATTTAATCGTAGGCAATGTATGTGTAAATGTAATATGTGTTTACCTGAAACTAATTGAAATCTCTTCCAATAGTTTTAATTCCAGTGAACAATAATTTGAGCAAGATTTAATGAGTTTCAAACAGTACCTAGAATAGAGCAACACAATATTTTATATTGCTTATTTTGTGTCTAGGTGATGGGTCTAGTGAAAGAGCCATAGTATCTTTTTCTTATGAGGAGAGGCACTTGCAAGCGTTAATAAAATCATTTTTATTTCAGATAGCATAAACAAGTTAAAACTAAGAGGGTTCTTACATTTCAACTGAATATATTGCTGTGTGAGTATTTTGTTCTCCATTGCATTTCACTGTCCAGAGTTGTGCTTAAATTCTTGAGTGCTCAGAAATTAAAATCAGGCTTGCAGGCTGCCTAACTCCAGAAGTCTTCCAGTATGTCATTTAGGAGGTAAGAGAGGAACTTACACCGTTCCAAGCACTCTGCCCAAGGAACAGCCTTTTCTGTGAAAATTTTTGAAGCATGAGAATAAACTGATAATAATTGAGATTGTGATTATTTTTTTTTACTTAGAGAAATTTAGCTCATCACAGGATACTGTTGCCAGTTAGGAATAAAGCTTAATAGTAGTAGTGCTGCAACGTAAGTCAGTAGTCATGGCATCATTACGTCTAAATATATATTTTTCTCCCTGTTTATGAAAAATGTAAAATTGAAAAGTGTAAACTGGTGGGGTTAGATAGTTTCTACAGTGGTGATAATACTGTCATTTCTTTTTTGTTGTTGTTGTTGTTGATGTTTTCCCCAGAAAGTAGTCAGAGATGATTTGAAATGCTTTTAGCTATGTCCTTTTAGTTTTCATTTTTTTGAGAAAAATTGTTGATGTAAAACATCTCACCATCAAGTGAAAAGCGGAAAAAGCTGGCATTGAATTATTGTAGACGTGAAAAGCTCAGGGAAAAAATACACAACTAGTGAATGAGAAGGATGTGGAAAATCAGTACAATAGTGACTCTTCCATTCTTCTGTTGTAGTTTTTGCTTTTTAACCCACTCTTTAACCCAAGCGAAGACCCAAACCGCAGACGCTGACGTGTAGCAGGTTGGCTGGAGCCCTGGACCTCCGTGGGAGCAGTTTGAGCAGACGGATCTGCGGGCAAGTCCTGTCCCCTGCCGCGG